ATATTTTAATTATTGGCTGAAGTTTGCATTCTTTTTATAACTGTAAAGATAACATAACTCTTTTTGGTACCTTTAATTCCGGGAATACCTGGGTAGTATCTTTATCATCCTTATTGTTGTGTTAGGTTGTAGTAATTTCAATCTTATATCTGAATGGTATTTTTTTTTTGTCTTAAAAAAAACAACTAAATTTATGAAATCTCACATTGAGAGGCTAAGCCAATGCGGAAGAAAGCACCAAAGGAGTCAGGAGACCTGAGCTGACCTTGGCTAAGTCCTATTTGTCACCTCAGTCCCCTACTGTCTTTTGTGAAGTAAAGTGGTAGCACTAGGCAATAACCTTGGATGTTCCCAAACCTAAGACTTTAGTATTCTAAAGATATATTGACTACATACTGCATGGCAAGCACTAAGGTATAAAAAACAAACAAACAATGATTTATAATTATATAGGATAGAAAATTTTATCACACAAAATATCATAAGATAATTAGATATTAAGATTAAGAATTAACCGTGCGGCTTTACTTAAGGCAATTCTAAAGTTCCCTTTCTCTTAAATTTATAACAAAATGTACTTATAACAAAAATATGTATTTCCTAGTATCACAAATTGTGAGAAGTAAAAGAGCCTTATATCATCCACCAGAACATTCCTATTTTGAGGAAAAGAACATTGAGACTCAGAGATATGGCAGCTTTGCTCAAGGTATGATTTACTTAAAAATGAGTGGTAGGAAGGCTTTAAAAAAAATTAACCTCAATTTTCCTTGAATATTGCCCCAAAAACCTCATTTTTAATATCGCAGATTTTTAAATGGGACTTCTAGAACAAAATTTATCTTCTGAATGTTTCCAGTCTTTGAAGTATATGAAATGCTTTGTCTTCAAAACTAACCTCTATGAGTAACGTCAGCTGGTCAGAGAAATAACTAGCGTATCTGTGAAGTTACACTAATGGGCCACACCTACTCAGAAAAAAAAAAAACAAGCTTAACAAGTTCTTTCTGAGAACACACATTTACTAGACCTATTAATTTAGCAAAATAATGGTACTATTGATATAAAGCAACTACGGCAGGTGGTGAGATAATCAGATACCAGAGGATTTGGGACAATGGTCAAGTCCTTCGCAGGTTTCACAGGTTTAATTTCAATTCAACATATGCGTTCACCACAGGCTGAGTGTGAGTGACATTTATGGTTATGGTTACATCTGGGAGGGATCTCAAAAGGAATACATATGTAGTTAGGCAGTAGAAAGCCCATTCCACTTCTATCAGTGCTACTAACTTCAAAATCATTTTGAATCAAGGGCTTACTATGTAAATCAAATACTCACCCAACCTTGAGGATTTGGCAACTACACATCACCACTTTGTCCCAATATTGCTTTCAGGTGGGGGTCTGGGAAAGCCTAGCACATATATCAACCTCACAATGTATCTACTTTTAAAATTCAGAAAGGTTATTACCTGGCTAGATTCTGCAAATACCATCTTGATGTGTTCCTAGCCCCTAGTAAGCAACAGGCCCTGAACTAAGGATGCACACAGGTTGAGAAGATGAATGAGACTGTCACAACTATTCATTTGTTCATTGCTATCGAGTATTGGCTGGTTCTAGACATAACTCAGATGATTGAAGCACCCACTTATCTTCTAGCAGGTTTTTACAATCTTTAGTTTCAAGTGTCACAACTATCCAAAATTTTTTTTAAAAATTAAATAAACTATACATACAATCCTTAAAAACAATGATATTTCAAAAGATGGTGAATAAGTAATTTCATAAATGTGTGCAAAAGAAACAAATGCTTCATTTAAAATATACTTTAAATTTAGGAGTAAAGAAAGTTTTCAAGTACTTTTCATTACATTTAAAAATCTTTTGTTCTGCTACCTCTATTGCAGTAAAATGCATATGGCAGATAATCACATTACCAGAATTTCTTGTTTTATATTCAGTTTTCATTTCAGTGTTTATATTCTGTTACTAATTGTGAATATAAAACAATACAATTAAA